AATTCTAGTGCTAGTGTTCTAAAGATTAGCAGGTACTTCTAATTTGGTCTCATTGTTAATATAGACATGGTCTCAATGTTACTATGGTTATACAAGCAAGAGTAGAACAATAAAATGTTTAAATAATTGAAATATAATTTATTAATTACCATTTTAACATAACAACAAAATAACAGATCTTTTAGAAATAACAAAACAATGGAGATAAATATTGCATCATAACAGATATTTATATTATTACGTCACTTTAGATTTTATCAGCTGGTAGAACAAATATTCAGACCATTATACAGATAGCTGAAAATAAGCTCTAGCAGTAAGTAGAGCAACTGAAATCAAGTTCTAACAGCTGATAGAGCAAATATTCAGATGACAATATAACTTTAAGTTCAGACAGCTGATAGAGCAAATATTCAGATGACAATATAACTTTAAGTTCTAACAGCTGATAGAGCGAATATTCAGATGACAATATAACTTTAAGTTCAGACAGCTGGTAGAGCGAATATTCAGATGACAATATAACTTTCAATATAACTTTAAGTTCAGACAGCTGGTAGAGCAAATATTCAGATGACAATATAACTTTCAATATAACTTTAAGTTCTAACAGCTGGTAGAGCAAATATTCAGATGACAATATAACTTTCAATATGACTTTAAGTTCAGACAGCTGGTAGGGCAAATATTCAGATGACAATAAAACTTTAAGTTCTAACAGCTGATAGAGCGAATATTCAGATGACAATATAACCTACAATATAACTTTAAGTTCTAACAGCTGGTAGAGCAAATATTCAGATGACAATATAACTTTAAGTTCTAACAGCTGGTAGAGCAAATATTCAGATGACAATATAACTTTAAGTTCTAACAGCTGGTAGAGCAAATATTCAGATGACAATATAACTTAAAGTTATAACAGCTGATAGAGCGAATATTCAGATGACAATATAACTTTCAATATAACTTTAAGTTCTAACAGCTGATAGAGCAAATATTCAGATGACAATATAACTTTCAATATAACTTTAAGTTATAACAGCTGATAGAGCAAATATTCAGATGACAATATAACTTTAAGTTCTAACAGCTGGTAGAGCAAATATTCAGATGACAATATAACTTTCAATATAACTTTAAGTTCTAACAGCTGGTAGAGCAAATATTCAGATGACAATATAACTTTCAATATAACTTTAAGTTCTAACAGCTGATAGAGCAAATATTCAGATGACAATATAACTTAAAGTTATAACAGCTGATAGAGCAAATATTCAGATGACAATATAACTTTAAGTTCTAACAGCTGGTAGAGCCAATATTCAGATGACAATATAACTTTAAGTTCTAACAGCTGGTAGAGCGAATATTCAGATGACAATATAACTTTAAGTTCTAACAGCTGATAGAGCAAATATTCAGATGACAATATAACTTAAAGTTATAACAGCTGATAGAGCGAATATTCAGATGACAATATAACTTTAAGTTCAGACAGCTGGTAGAGCAAATATTCAGATGACAATATAACTTTCAATATAACTTAAAGTTATAACAGCTGGTAGAGCAAATATTCAGATGACAATATAACTTTAAGTTCAGACAGCTGGTAGAGCAAATATTCAGATGACAATATAACTTTCAATATAACTTTAAGTTCTAACAGCTGGTAGAGCAAATATTCAGATGACAATATAACTTAAAGTTATAACAGCTGATAGAGCAAATATTCAGATGACAATATAACTTTCAATATAACTTTAAGTTCTAACAGCTGATAGAGCAAATATTCAGATGACAATATAACTTTAAGTTCAGACAGCTGGTAGAGCCAATATTCAGATGACAATATAACTTTAAGTTCAGACAGCTGGTAGAGCAAATATTCAGATGACAATATAACTTTCAATTCTAACAGCTGATAGAGCAAATATTCAGATGACAATATAACTTTAAGTTCAGGCAGCTGGTAGAGCCAATATTCAGATGACAATATAACTTTAAGTTCAGACAGCTGGTAGAGCAAATATTCAGATGACAATATAACTTTAAGTTCAGACAGCTGGTAGAGCAAATATTCAGATGACAATATAACTTTCAATATAACTTTAAGTTCTAACAGCTGATAGAGCAAATATTCAGATGACAATATAACTTTAAGTTCAGACAGCTGGTAGAGCAAATATT